CCCAATGACCCCCTAGCTACATAAATACTAGTATGCGCTCCGAACACGCACGGCTACAATAATGACAGCCAGATTCATTTTGTTTCATTTATGGATGTACTCACCCTTTTTGTAAAATCTGACATCACTTCATATAGACAATGAAGTGATTTGTTTTTCATTCCCTGATTTTACTGTGTACTCTTTTTAGTACTTGTAATTGTTTGAATATTTTTGGCCCAGCTTATCAATTATTTGTCAGTCATTTGTTTTGTGTTTTATCTGCGCATGCTCACTATCACATGTTACAAACATTTCTACACACTGAATCATTCATTAGCGAATGTCAAACAATCTTGTTGTTGACATTCGTGTATAGGAATGCAAACGTTGACTTAGCCAAAACAGCGCCACCAACGATGTATTTGCTCACGATATCCAGTAAAATAAATAAATAAATAAATAAATAAATAAATAAATAAATAAATAAATAAATAGGGGCTCTAATCAAATGGAATAAATTCTTGGTACTGGCCTCATATCGTGGGAAACTGGAATACAATACCCATTGTTATGTATATTCACTGAACTAATGATTATAGTACAAATATAGTGCATTATAATATAAATGCATTCTCAATAAATTGATAAATGTACAATATTATGATATTATCACTGAATATTCGCTGCTTGGGACCAATTAAAACTGATCATATTCAGTAGATGATGAGACCCAAAGGTTACTGCTGTCTTGTTCATTTACTCTAAAGTCTTGTTACATATAAAACATCTCATATGTGTGTGATACCAATGATTGCACACAGTGATCTGAAATAGTGGGCAGTCAGATAAAACGTGCACACATGCAGCACGCATACGTGCATATTGAAAACCGAAGCATAAATTATTGTTAAACGTTCAAAGTTTGTTTGTTGATTTTGCAGCATTTATTCGACTTACGGAAATTCTAGCTTAGTAGAGTTGAATGTTCCCATTGTACACTCACCCAGTATGACTGTTAAACACGTTGGGTAATGCATAAAATTCGATGAGCATTTTTATTTTCTGTTGCAGTGCAACTAGTGTGACCATAAAAAACGATGTGTATTACGACTTGTGTGACCGTGAAACATGTTGAAAATCCCATCTCGTGTGAAACACGACGGACATTGCATCTAGCTTGGCCTTGAAACACGATGGGTTTTCCATCCAGTGTGATTGTGAAACACAATGGGCATTCTATCTAGTATAACTGTGAAACAGGATGGGCATTCCATCTCATTTGACCGTGAAACACGACGGGTAATACCATCTAGTGTGACAGTACACCACGATGGGTATTCTATCTCGTGTGACTATGTACATCATCACTCACCATGGGAAATGAGAATCACTGATCAGCGTTTAAAATAGTAACATGGCAAACACTGTAAATGAAGAGCAGTGTGAATGAACTCCTTCACATACCCTTACATTTCAGTTGATTGTCCTGTCAACAAACAAGCTTCTCTTTGATTGGTTTAACTGTTCGGTGTTAGGATTGAGTAGCCAATCAGGCACAATCTTGTAAGTAACTTTACATTGTCTCTGATTTTGCAGTGAATGATGACATGACTCCCTGCTTTTCGGAATTATAACGGCATGGCTCTGTGCAAATAAATTTGACATAAACGACATCATGACGACATCAATTAAAGAGTTTTGGCGGAAATGAGTCTTGATTTTAAAACTCACATACGCTTATATATGCATAGTGTTTATCGACATTTGTTGACCAATAAATTATAGTAGCTGCACATTCAACAAGAAAACACGTCATTGAAAACACCGAGCAAACAAGAACACTGAAAACACGGCATATCTTACAAGACATATATCAAGACTTTTCATAATAAATAATTTTTTTTTGTAAAACTGTGAGAGAAAAAATTGAAAATTCTGTTTACTCTGTGATATAGTTACAATAATCACGAGAATTCAAAATTGTTTTTCAACTCGTCCATTCAAAGCTATTGTCTGAAAAAAAGTGTTTTGGCAAAAAACCTATGTATAATTAACATAATAAAAAGTGGATAATCCAATTAGACACATCAACACTACCAGTGAATTCTGTCATGGTTACTGCAAAACAGCACCAACGTGTTCTGTATGGCACACTGTACGTGGAAAGTTTCTTTAAATATCAGTGTTTAAAGCCAGGCGTCTTGTTTCAATAACAATACAAGATGGCGATCAGACACACATCATGTATGCGTACTGTCATCTTACAGCGTATGCAGCGACATTACGATGGTGACACTGGAACACTACACACACAACAATCCACTCGGGTGAACATGATGTTGTAATCCTGTAATTAAACTGTGTGTTACTCCATGTAACATCCTAATCGAGTATCCAATCAACATTCATTACATATCCATATCCAATAAGCAGTGTTGTTGCATCTAAGACTTGAAAATAAAGATGTCCGCCATCTTGAACAATTATTATTATTACTGTGTCTGTCGGTGAGTCACAACCTCACACATTAAAACAAGCACACAAATGACAGCTATAGGAATGGAACTTTAGATCAAACAGGCTTGGACGATTTCATCCTTTGCATAATAGTTGTTTATATTTTTGTGAATTTATAAATCTTGGGTAGGAGTCTCTATGCATTAGGATATAAATTTGTTGTTGTGCATCATCAAAGGTATGCTGTGTGGGGTCCACCATATTCCTATTAATGACCTCTCGTACCCGTGAGTCAAGGCTCACCTGAAATATACAAGAATACCAAAAAGTTACATAACAATGCGAGATATATAGTGATTAACTATTCTTGAAGACGTTCGATTGGGACAAACAGACAAATAAACAAACAAAACCTAAAAAAAGCGACAAACTGTTGAAGCGCTGCAATAATTTCGGTAAGACATTGTTCAGGCAACAAACTGCATATTACTGAAGTTCACAAAAAAGTAACGCAGGTGGGATTGAAGATGATTTTATCGTTTTCACACGTTGTCCGATCCCATCTTATCTTTCACCCTTGTTCTGTTGATTTTATTTCGCCAAACGCTATTGCACCTCCTCGTATTCTGTGATATAATAATGTCGTCTGCCACCAGAAAGGTTATAAATACACTAAATTGCTGCAAAACTGATGTTTGTAAATTCAAATCTACCTCTTTAGGTGAAAGTATTGAGATATAATCTTCGTATATCAGCCTGGATTTTTCTTCTATAATCTCTTGATCCGTTTGATGCCGTAATTCTTCGCAAGCTAGCCAAAATAGTAAATTTTCTTCACTGTATTCAGACTTGAGAAATTCTCTGAATGAATCCCGGCCAGCTGAGCAGAGAGAAAATCAATAAATGAGTGGTTAATTCAACATTGATAGATAAAGAAATACAAAAAGCGTTTCAATAACATGGTGCTAATATCATCTGATGCACAATGAAAAACGCTTTTTTTAAAAGCGCCATCTGGCGACGAGAATGAAAAGGTCGTGGTGCGCTATATTAAATCACAAACGCTAAACATTTCGGAAGATGACTGAATGGAACTATGACATGAACCAGAAGTATTTACTGACATTATAGTACAAGAATTTTTCTAGAAGAAAAAACATGGTGAAACTATTGATCATCTTGACCATGATTTATTTACCATACTGTCATTTATGCCGAAATTTATGTCGTATTTGTTATAAACTCAATAAAATAACTGTTAATTTATCAAAACATTGGTAGTATAATTCTCAGGAGGGGACCAGAATAATTGATGCGGATTTAAGTTCAGTAATAAGTAGTAGTAGTAGTAGTAGTAGTAGTAGTAGTAGTAGTAGTAGTAGTAGTAGTAGTAGTAGTAGTAGTAGTAGTAGTAGTAGTAGTAAGATGTGTGATGTAGGTGTGAAAGTTGAACATGATATAGGTACAGATATACAGTCTTCTTTTGGACAATAATATCGTATTTAACTATTTATGAACTAAATAAATCTTCTAGTTACTCAGTAAATGTCAATTATAGAATATGACATGTGTTTGTATGGAAGTTTTAAAATAGTGCAACAATAGTATCTCAGCAAATTTCAGCAAGAAATTGCTCTTAAAATGTTGGTAAAAAATATCTGTCAAAGTTTGCTGGGAAAATATATATATACTACCAAATGAAAACTAAATTGATTATTATGGTTTATTTTTTTATTCAATTTAGTCTAATTCATATCTTGTAAAATATACTTGACTTTCACACTAATGAGTTATTATAACTACAAGAAACACTATTCAATGATATAATGATACATTAAAGGTAACAATAAAAATATGTTAATTAGCATCATGCTTAATATGTTATATTTTTTTCTTGATTTCAATTTTAAAGCTAATCTCATCACTATCGAATTGCATTCAATAACATTTATGTTTGTTTCATGTTTCCACTCAGACAGACAGTTGTTACATAACAGACTCCTCATATTTATGCTAATGGACACATTTTTATAAATTTTCAAAAATATGCAAGCCAGATTTATTTGAACAGCACTGAGAAAATACATTGAATGCTTACATTTTAAAGTTTGAGAAATTCATTTTGGTCACAAGAAGTGTTAACGACGATGACGACAACGACGACATATATTGTAACAACTATACATCGCCACTTCATTATTATTTGGAATTACAATAAGATAAATTGAATTACCTGCACTTTTCATGAGTCTGTCGAATGATTCGCCCCATGACTTTATCTCATCACGTGACGGTCTGAAAAAAGAGAAAGAAAGATTGAAATACTGTTGTGTATATATATGGAAACTACGTCATAAACAAGGTACATGTATATTGCAAATTACAAAAACAAATTAAGCATTACTTTTCTATCTCTTTATCTTTTAACTCCATTTTTGTGTCGCTTTTTTGTTTTTCGTTTTCTGATGGATCTCGTACGGCAAGACTGAAAGATAATTGATATAATTAGTCACGTTGATTAATAACAATGCGGGTAGGTTTTGGTGAATGAAGATGGTGAGCGCCATGCTGAACATCGACGACAATCTGTAGTACCTGAGTATATGCTTGTGGGTAGCAGACATGTTGCTGGATACACGGCGGGTCATGGAACATGCAGTATTACGTAATAATTGTACGGAGTAATAACAAACCGCAGGCAAGCCTGTGGGCTTAGTGTTAATATCGACTCCCTTCATTCTCACGACTGGTTTTCTGATGAGAAGAATTCCTGACCCGCCTTCCTTTTTATGTCGCCATGTTACTGACGTCATCACTCTTAACATAATTTACAAGTGCTTTTCCTATATTATTCCTTTCAAGTGACAGGCGGCTTTACGCAGCCCAACTGATTTATTTACCGACTCATTGACATCACTCTGACGTCTTGTCTCGAAACGCCGGATAGAATTTTCGAAATTGACCTTTCTGGATATTCGCCCCGCTTCCCGCCACCCTAGCTCTCATTTTAAACAATTTCACGTTCAGCGATGTAATCTTAATATTTGTCTATGATAACGTATTGTATGTAATTATTGACACGAGCGGTGACCTGAATATTGACATACGAGTCTATGGCAGATAATGTATGAACACATAAACCGCTATGTTACAGCATTATGAGTACAGCTCATTAAATTCGATGAGCCCTGCCCTGGACATTGTTGTGGCGTTTGGAAAAGTAGCAGTAGTCGTGGTGGTGATTGGAATACGTAATTTACATATTAATAGTGATTTTTCAATCGCAGTCGGACAAAACAACAACGCAACTTAATTAACAAACTATAACGTGAACGTTAAACAAAGGGATCCTGCAGTAGGCCAGACTCTCTGGTTCTCACCACAGGGGTTACGATCACCCTACAATCCCTAGCAGAATAAAACACACTACATGTATAAAACTA